TGTAAATCTGAATCCTAATTACTCAAAAATTATATATGTGATTTCCAAAGAAGAAACTAATAAATTTATTAATTTGATAACGCAATCCCTAGCTTTCATTATTAGCTTTTCTTTTCTCATTATATATTTTCTATTTATTTTATTCTATTTTATTTATTTCCTATTTATTTTATTTTGTTTTACCTCTTTCCTTTATTGTGTATATTGTAATTGGGCTTAAATACATGTCCTATCAATAAAATTATGCTAAAATATTTTCTATGGTATCAAAGCAATGGTTCTAACCCTAGCAGTTGTCAGACCTTTTTCTAGCCGGTCGGATCTCCCTCCAGCCGAACTGGATCTCCTTCCAGCTGACCAGACAGCTTTCCCTCCCGATTTTCTTTCCCATTGTGGTTCTTCCCACAAAACTTCGCAGTCGGGTTCTATCCATTGCTTTCCCATCAAGGAGGCCACTGCAAACAGAGAAGAAGGCGATGCTTGCTTAATCGCAGTGCTTCTAGATGTCGTACTCCTTCGCCGCTTTCTTCTTAGATAGTTTCTCCTCTTGGCCTTCTGAAGATTCCTCGTCAGAGGAGTAAGCGAAGCTAATCCCTCCAGCCACTCTTCCCGTGATTACCAAGTTACTGCAGTAATTTTTTTGGTCTAAGAAAAACACTTCTGCTCCATCATGCTTATTGTTCTTCCTAGCTAGACCTTTCCGGCAGTTGCATCCGTCTACTGGTGATCCTACTTGAATTTGTTGATGGCTCAAAATCACAACCATATCTCCATTGACTCAGTTGGAATTATGGCAGATTCCTCCAATATTGAGTCACCTTCAGAATGTGTTCTTGATTATACCGGAGGATCGACTCCAATCTCCGCTCCCTTGCAGAACACAAGACTTGAAACCAATATGAACCTCTTGATCACAACCCATACATTGAATGGTGGTAACTTTCTCCAATAGTCCTAAGCGGTGTCTTTGTTCATCAAAGGATGCGAGAAATTTGGTCACCTCACAGGTATGATTTTTGAGCCTCCAAAGACTGACCTAGCGTATGAAGCTTAGAAAGTGGAGAACTCCATGGAGACTTCGATCGGTCGTTCATATATTTTCCTCCCTTCAACTAATGCCCTCTGGACAGCAATTCGTGATACCTACTCAAATGTAGGAAACTCTGGCAAAATATATGAGCTGTCTAAGAAAATTTGAGAGGCAAAACAAGGGGTTAAGGACCATGACCTAGTACTATAATGACATTGTTGCACTATGAATGTTATGTGACATGTACTACGATTATACTTGGGCTTCTCCAGCTAAGCTTTCTCGCTTCTAGAAGATTGTAGAAAAGGATCGTATGTTTCAATTCTTGGTTGGCCTTAAGAAAGACCTTAATGAAGCCCGAAGCCGTATTCTTGGTTAGAACCCTCTTCCTTCCCCTCACGTTGCTTTTACTGAGATTCGTCGAGAAGAGAGCTGGAGATTTGTCATGCTCGGCACCTCTACTCCTTTAGCCAAATCATCTGCCTTGCTTTCAAATAGTACTCAATCCTCATCCACGACACCTTGAACTGGTCAACCCACTTGTGATTATTGTCACAAACCAAATCACAATCAAGACAAGTGTTGGAAACTTCACGGTAAAGCGCCAAACAAACCACCAGCCAAATCCTCTACTACCAAGGATCTCACGATGACTTCCGAATCTGCCACAGTTCGACCAACTGCTACCCGGAATATTCTGAAATCCTCTGAATCACTTAAAAACCAGATAGTGCAATTGATCAAGCTACTTGAAGCCAATCAATTCTCTGTGAGTCTGTCGACCTCCCACATCCGACAAGGTATTCTTTCTATGACTCGTGGTTTTTTTCTCCTCTAGTTCATGGATTGTTGATTTAGCTGCCAAGAATCACATGACTGGATGCTCGCAAGCTTTCTCGAATTACTATCCATGCTTTATGAAAGATACTGTGAGAAATGTTGATGGCTTATGTATTCCATTGCGGTTAAAGGGTCGTTGTACTAATAATTGGTATAATTCTGGAGTTTATTTTACATGTTCCTCTGTTGCAATGTAACTTGTTATTTATCAGCCAGATGACGAATGATATTGATTGCATTGGAAGAGCACGGGGAGTGAGGACACACTATTCAAGAGTTGTAGTTTATCTCAGGTCATTGAATGTTTCATTATGTTGTTGCATTGTCACTTGAATCATCATAGTTTCCAATATTTAAAAATTTTGTATTCTTTGATTTTTTTAATAAATTTTTTTCTAATTTCAATAATTAGACACGTTAGTTAGCCAAACATCAAGTTCATTACCCACCCAACACTTACACAACATTCGCTCCTTTCTCTCTCATTGACATTGACCTATGGGCCAGCTACACTAATAAACGGTGGCTCCTAACTTTGATTGATGATCACACTCAAATGAGGTGGGTCTAAATTTTAAAAGACAAATCAGGTTGTCACCTTTCAAAACTTCTACACATTTGTTCTAACTCAATTCAAAACTCATACTAAGGTCCTTCAGATCGAAAAAATAGTCATAAATTTTCAACTCTATTGTTGGTGAATTCTTGGTGAGTAAGAGCATCCTACACTATAGCTTGTGTACAAACACGTCTCAACAAAATGCGATAGTAGAGAGGAAAAACCGCAATATCCTTGATGTTGTTTTATTATGTTTCAATCCAATGCCTCGAAATGATTTTAGAACGATATCATTCTCACTGTCACCTATCTCATAAATAGTCCCTTCTAAAATTCACAAATTTGGAACCCCCTTAGCTGTCCTGATTTCATGCTCCCCTACCAATCATGTCTTCTCCACATTAGATCTCAATATTTTTTAGTGCACTACCTTCCTTCAAAACACTCCATTCATTCGAAACACTGCCCCCAATTGAAGTAAACTTGATCATAAATCCATAAAATGTATCTTTCTAGGGTAAAGGTTTATGTGTCTTGATCCTAACACAAAAAAAATCTGTGTGAGTGCTGATGTCTCCTTCTTTGAAAGTGTTCCCTATTTTCCTAGCTCGGCTCCAATGGAGGGGGCGCTTGGGTTCTTAGACACGATCCCATATCCTACTCCTATGAATGTTCCCCCATTGCTCCTGCTACTAAAGAGTCCCATGTTCCGTTAAGTGCATCATCTCCTCCTCCCATTGTCCATGTCTATACTCAGCGCGCCCATCCTAATGCTCTTACTCTGGAGCTCTATACTCCTTACAGGATCTTGACTCCATGCCGGGCAACATCCTCAGCACGACCCCTCCTTCAAATGAGGATTTGAGTTCTCCGAGTAAGGTACACAATCAGACAAGCTTACTTTATTCTATGGTAAAATATGTCTCTTTCTGAAGTTTATTACCGACCTACAGAGCATTTGCTGCTGCCCTGACGAACCATCATATCCTAGCTACTATTGAGGTTGATATTGCTGATCTTGCCTGGAAAACGATAGTAATAGAGGTTATGAATGCTCTTTGGCGGAACCATATGTGGGACGTCTTTGATCTTCCTTGGAGTAAGAAAGTTGTGAGGTGCCGATGGATTTTAACACCAAGTTCAACTCTGATAGATCATTTGAACGCAACAAGGCACGATTAGTTGTCAAATGGTGCTCACATATAAGATGTAAACAAGCCGAACATGAGCGAGCCCAGGCTCTGCTTGTGTTCGGCTCGTTTACATTTCGAGCTCAAAAAGTGTGTTCGTGTTCGGCTCGTTTGCTTAGCGAGCCAAATACAAGCTATTCACGAACAAAGAGTAGTTCTGACAACCCTAATCACGTAGCCATAACATGTTAAGGGTCGGGGCAACATTTAAAAATTATTATTTATATTAAAACAACATCTAAATCTAATTAAATAATTTTTGTTCTATTTTCTTAATACTTTTAATTGATTATAAATCTTTGTAACCATGTAATCAATTAAATTTTATAAAAGTACAACACATCAATACATATATATAACTCGATATAATTGATTAGTATTTCGAGCAAAAACGAGTCGAACACGAACAAACAGAACACGAACAAACAAATCTTTGTTCGTGTTCGGCTCGATAATTTAGCGAATGAGCCAAACAAAAGCTTCTTAACTTGCCGAACAAGAGCTGTTTGCGAACAATGAGCCGTTTTGACAACCCAACCTCCAGATCTATGAAGTTAACCATGAGGAGACATTTGCTCTAATGGCTAAGTTAAACACTATTTGGGTCTTTTTGCTCCTTGTAGTGAATCTGGATTGGTCTTAATTCCAGCTAGATGTCAAGAATGTGTTCTTGAATGGAGAGCTTACAGAAGAGGTATAAATGTCTTTCCCTTATGGTTTTGACTCTACTGCCTCCAACGGGCAAGTGTGCAGACTACGAAAGTCTCTCTACGGGCTAAAACCATCACCAATGACCTAGTTCGACAAGTTCACAAAGGTGGTCGTGGGAAATGGTTTCACTCAGGCTTAATCAAATCACACTCTCCTGTTCCCACATTGCTCCAATAGTCAGATAGCTATCCTTATTGTTTATGTTGATGATATTGTTCTTACAGGTAACAATCTCTCAACATTGGAGTCCTTGAAAGACATTCTTACTAACTTCTCTGAAATGAAGGACTTGGAATCTCTTTGTTAATTCTTAGACATGGAAGTGAATTGGTCATCTCGAGGCATTTGTCTGTCTCTAACGCAAATATGTGATTGATATCTTGACAAAGAACAAAATTCTTCTGTACAAACTAGTGGTTGTTTCTATGAATCTCAATGAAAAATTATTTGATATTTCCAATGTTGTGTCTGTCAACAAGACTCATCACCAGTTTCTTATGAGAAACCTCATTTACCCCGCCCATACTCACAACAATATACGCCATGCAGTTAGTATAGTGAAACAATTCATGCATGACCCCTATGAGCATCTTCTCCAAGTTATTTCCTGAATTCTCCACTATTAAAAGGTACACTGGGCTCAGATTTCTTTCTCTCATCACACCTTTCGATCTATTGTTATTTATACAGATTTTGATTGGGTCAGATCGGTTCATGACCGACGTTCCACATCGGGATATTGCTCATTCGTATGAGAAAATCTTTTCATCTTGAAAAGCAAAAAAACAGTCTATGGTTGCCTGGAACAGTGCTGAAGTTAAATTCCAGTCGATGTCCTTGGGGATATGTGATGCCCTCTGATTATGCTTCATGCTCTGTGAACTTTGTATGAAACCTCTGTCCCACTACAGCTATTCTGTGATAATAAAACCGCCACCAGCATTGCTCACAATCTAGTCCAATATAATCATACCAAACATGTGGAGATCGACACACTTAAAAGAAAATATTGAATCTGAGAAAAATTGTATTCCTTTTGTGCACTCCAGTGGTCAACTAGCGGATATCCTCACCAAAAATCTTCCACATCCTTTTTTGTTCGATGATTTCAAATTCAAGCTAAACATGGGGGGCGTACTAGATTTAAAACGACAATCTCCAGTCGTTATTACTTATTATTAGCTTTTATTCTCTTATTTTATATTTCCTATTTGTTTTATTTTGTTTTATTTCTTTCTTTTGTTGTGTCTATTATAAGTGGGTTTAAATAGCCCTCCTCATATCAATAATATTATGCTCCTCTATTTTCTAAATTTCACAATTTTCATTATAATTTATTGATTACTTGTAAAATTCAACATATAAGCAATATATGTTATCAACTCCTTCAAGGAACTGTTTTAGCTATTCTTCAAAAACAAAGAAATGTTTCAGCCAACCTAAACATTAAAATGAACCACAAATAGGACTTCTTTGATTAATAGAGACATACGCATGTAAATCACATGCTATACTATCATGGCCCACTTCTTTATGTGTGAAAATTATCCTACTATGTCAAAACAATCAAAATACCCTTATTCATTATTTTCAAATAATTGCAATCTTGCCTAACCCTTTATCTGGAATAATCCAATATAAAAATACCACTTTTGAGTAATAATAATAATTCTCTCCATGGGCCATAAGTACTGGTCGACAACTCACTAAGTTACATAACACACTCTTCCTCCACGATAGCTCTAAATAAGATGTGTCATGTCTGTCACCTAAAGGAAGAATATAATTGATTCATAACTCAACAAAATCCTATTCCTTCCCATCAAAATAAAACTACGCAACAGCAAAATATCTTTCACTGATGCCCTTTTGATTTAGTGTGGGAAGTGGAAACCTCTTCTAATGGAGAAAAATTTGGGTACATAAGACGTACGCAGCGATGCGTATGTTAGAGAGGTTATTCAGAGGGTATTGGGGGTTATATCCGCGTTATACCCCCTTGTAACTTCCTTGTAACCTACCTATAACCTACAAATAAGTTTTGCATTTTTGTTTTCATATATTTGTAGGTTACATGTAGGTTCCAGGTAGGTTACGGGAAAGTTACAAGAGATATAACGCGGATATAACCCCTCCAATACCCTCTGAATAACCTCCTGATGTACGCAGCGCTGCGTATATCTTATGCGCGCAAATTTTTCTCTTTCTGATGAATGCTTCCCTACCAGCTCCTGTAAGAGAAATTAATGAATTTATTTATCTAGTTGTTTTTATCAAGAAAAGCCATTTGTAAATGCTACTTATGAAGCCTAGTTTTGCTCTCATACTTCAAGATAATAAATATTGATAATTGTGAAAATCTATATAATTTAACCATAATCATGCAACTAAAAACATTTAAATAATTAATGATGCCTCATACCAATACTATGCTTAAAGGAACTTTTGTCATCCATCCACTAATTGATCAGATGGTTTCCTGTGTTTAAAATTTTAACAAAGTAATAGAATTATCATTCTCTACAAGATATATCTTTTTGTTTACATGCATCCAAATAAATAAACCTTGAGATTTTGACAATATATCGATCATTAGTTTAACACATCACAATTTAAACAAAATAAGGAAGCTTTATTACCTTACAAAAGGCTAATTCGCTGTCATCAGAAAGTCAACGCGACCATGCCCATCTGCACGAATCGTAATGTAATTAATAGGCGGCAACCTGGTGGAGCCCACCAAAAACATGGACAAAAATCAGAACTCACCACATCCACACAAACAAAAAGGCAGAACTGTAAATGAGCACCGGTCTATAAAAAATAGGTGTTGACACTAACCTCATCCCTTAAAATCAGGGGCATTTACATACATGCCACACAATTTTTATGTATTTACATATGTAACGCAGAAAACAATCATATTTGCATTCATGCTATTCAATTATTTAAAATCACATAAAAAATATTATCATCGCTATCATTTTAAAAGAGACACATATTTCATGCATAATAGATTTATGACACCAAAAAATTATATGCATAAATATCAAAGTTTGGATGTTTGATATCTAAATAGATAAGACCTTCGTGGTATTTATGTAAAGTTCCCTCAAAATTAACGAAAATAAATATTAAAACTGTTAATTTTTTTATTAAGGTAAGTGCACAATAAAATAAAATAATTACATGGCCATAATCTCAAAATAATCTCAAATAAATTTAAGCTCATTCTAACTAAAAGATTGATCCAAAATTCCTAACATTTTTTTATTAAGATAAGTGCACAATAAAATAAAATAATTACATTGCCATAATCTCAAAATAATCTCAAATAAATTTAAACTCATTCTAACTAAAAGATTGATCCAAAATTCCTAATGAGATTTACCCCCCTCTTCAGTACTTTCGGCCCATTCTCCTTTCTCCCCTACCAAAATTTTTCCAGAAATAGAGCTATTCAATAAAACCTGTCCACTGAAAGGAGACCTTTCAGACTGTAGCCTTTAGACATAATGCAACTTCCTTACAGGTTGCCAGCAACCCGTAGGGCCCAAAATTGAAGATTTCTTTCACTACACTCAAAAATTCATTTCAAATCATTGATTTCAACCCTCCCTACAAAAATCTATATTTAAACTCAACCAACATCAATTTTAATTAAGACAAGTAATAAAACACGCTCTCCAAATAAACAGAAATGCACGCAACTCAGATAAATTTTGATTAATCCGCTTAAAAAAATAATCTTCCAATATACATTTTTGTTAAGAATTTGTTAAGAGTGTAGGAACAGCAACAACACTGCTGAATAATAAACGCTACAGGTGAAGAACACACACCTGAACACCTCTACCCCACACACACAAATAGTTAATTGAACCCGCACCGAAATTCAATAATAATTCTAATCATAAAGTTCAGCATCAATAATCAGCGCCACCGGGACAAACAAAAGATGGTACAATTCAATCCCCTACTTTAAAATGTGGCTACACTTGCCTTGAAATCAACATCACCTTTGGCTATTTCACAAGTAAAAAATTGAAGAACAAGACAGATAAGCACCTGTGGCAGTTCACCCAATGTTTCATGAGAGAGAGCACAGAAAGGGACCCAGATGGAATATGGCCGACCTCCCCACCATATCCTTTTCACAGAGACAAACACTCCCTACAGAAAATCAGTAAAAATTATAAATGAGGTGACTTTCGCATGCCAGTTGTTCAGTGAAGACATTTTTTTCAGAAAAAAAATGTGCACATATTTATCTCTTGAAAATCTTAAGACAATGATGCAGCAGAACTACAGAATCCTACAGATTATGTGAAACAAAAAGAAAGCAAAAAAACCATGCAAAATGACATGAAGATTTGATAGCAACCAATGAATGGTTCATATCATCCGAAAGGTTTGGTCTCAGGTAAAGAATTTCATTAGTACTCACTCAAATATCATGATGATGACAACGCAACGAACAAAATTGGTTGATGCAAGAGCTTTAGATCACATGGCCTGCACAAATCCATAGGCTCCACTTGATGTAATCATATGAAGGAAATGGAACCATTCTGAGATAAATCTTGGGATTTGTAGGAGAACGGGGTGTTCAAATCAAAGTTAAGTGGATACCTCCAAGTTAGGGCATCACAGTGGCTTGATAGCCTGCAACAGTTATCACCTCTTTCATTCCACGTGCACGCGAAGTGAAATTTTTCAAAGTTCTTCCATTATTCTGGATAAGATGACAGATTTGAGATTTTGCACCATTTGTGAGTTATCTCCGAATGGAACTTTCATCGGAAATGCTGGAGTGTAAAGAAACCTCAAACGGCATGAAAAAAATCCAGGCATTAAAGCTATTAAAAGTAAAATGGAATTCTGAGAACAATGTAACAAATGAAAATAAAGAGAATGTTTGGCATTCGCCATCAGCTTAGTCATATGATTAATGAGGATGATTATCCACAGGTTGCGCAATAGCCTTCCATTAAGAAGTCGTTTGTTATCATCTAATTAGAATGCATGCGTTTGAGAATGCATGGTAAACTAAATATAGTGATTATGATTACTCAAAAAAAGATTTTTTTAACAGTAAAACAAATGGAGGAAGCTATTTTTTCCCCATATGGCTGACTGTAAGAAAAAACTATAAGAAATTAGAGAACTTATAAACAACATATCAAGTGTGGAAGTCTGGAAAGGGCACGGAGGCGTATTTTGTGTAATTGAGAATCGTTTGGAGGAGATGGAGGAGGTGAGGGTAGCACAAGCGGTGATGGTGCAACCAGAAGTTGATCAAAGCAAATTGGAAAAAAATAGAGCTTGATAAGGTTTGATTTATTGGTCTTCTAGACATAGGCTAATGACAAAAAATGAAATACAATAGATTTGGCCGGATTTGAAATTTGGAAAATTTATGGTTATTGTGGATCCAACTGCCCTCACTAACTTCCATTGGAAAGCAAAAACCTACTGCATGTATTGATTTTGTTTTCAATGCATTCCTAAAAACTATAGTTAACATCATTACAAATCTTCACGTACCACCTAAGTTCATCTAACATCTATGAGTTTGTTATCTACTACGTTTAAACCCTATAAAAAGAGGTGCTTAAATGGTGTGTTGAGTTGCCTCTCGCATTCTTCTACCTCATTCAAGAAGGTATAGAGATGGAGGTTAGAGAAGTGATTAATGGATTAATTGATGGCTATTGGTTATTTTGGCCGATGGCTTAAGGAGAAATTACTCTGATGGGTGATTGATAGTGTGAAATGAAACAACCCAAGTTATAGTTTGAGTAGAAAGATTTCACAAGAGGAAATCGACTAGTGTCACAAGGGTTTGGTGACTAGTGGGGCCATATGACACAATAAAAGAAGATTTCTCTATCGCTGATGAGCATTGCTGGTGGAAGAATCAAAAGTTGAAACTAATAATAAAAGAAATAAAACAAAAAAAAGCTTAGTTTAGCAAGTGTTTAACCTTATTTATCTCAAGATTAGCGAGCATTTATCTGTGGCCATAAATGCACGCGGTTCTTACTAAACCTCGTAAATTCTTAAGTTATTTTATCTATTGTTTTTTGCTGATTAAATTGTTCAATCTCATGATCATCATCGCTCTCAGAGACGTGATTTCACCCAAAACCAGTATTAGAGCTAGGCTAGCTTTGAATAAGAAAAGTGAGCGATGGTGTAACAAAATGGGGAGGAACAATCAATTTGATAGCAAGGACTTCAAGTATTGGAAGATGCAAATAAAAAAACTAACTATAACGAGGAAAATTACATCTACCTCTCTTTGAGCCAAAGCCTACTTATACGAGGAAAAAAGATTGGGCTATTAAGGAATCCAGACGTTAAGATTTGTACATATATCACTAATGGAATGTTGCCTTCAACATATTGAATGAGAAGATCACAGTTGACAACAAGAAAGCTCAATCAAATATGTACGAGAAATCTTTTTTTGATAAAATTAATGAAGTTTTTAAATATGAAATGGCTGAAAGTGTGATACCAAAGATAACCCAAATCACAATACAAAAAGCAAATGTTAAAACTAAAAAAAAATAGACATAACCAAACACACTTGAAAGAAAAATTACAACAAAACAAGACACAAACTCACAATAGGGCACGATCCGGGGGTGCTGGAGATCAAGAGGTGGTCGAGGATGATGGTAGGAGGCTGAAATGGGTGGTTGGTTGTTGGGATAGCGAAAGGAGGGTGAAATTGTGTTGGTGGTGAAGCAGAGGGCTAGGAACGACAGTGGCAGCCAAGGGGGGCTGGAACAATGAAAGGCAGCGATGGGAAAGCGTTGTGAACTGCAGAACAGAAAGAGGAGTGATGTCCCGGGGCTGTCGCAGCGAGGAGGATGGTTGAAATGAATGAAATAGATGGTTGGGTGGCGGGACTAAATGAAAAAGACAGCAAGATTGTCGTCCTGGGGGGTAGTAGCAAGTATGGATGGTTTGATAGTGATCTAAACAGCGAGGCGAGGGAGGGAACAAGGGTTGAGGTGAAAGTGGATGTGAGGGCAGCAAAAAGGAGAGATAATGGCGGTGGCTGGAAAGATTGCAAGAGAGTTGGTGTTGACCTCATTTTTAGTGAGGTCTAGTCTTCCTCTCAGGGTTTAGGATCTAGCCTTAGGGACCTCCCTTCGACTATCTTAGAACCTTAGAAATGGGACCCGCCTTGTTCTAGAAATTCAACCTGCTTCCGTCCCCTTCTGGAGTTTCGCGTGTGTGGTATCAACTTCTAGCACTTAGAAGGATGAAACCAACATGAGGAAAACCAAAAGGGATTCCCTATAGGACCTTCCTGAGCCTTAGGGTGGCCTTTTGCACAATTCGCACTCCCGCGCACAAAACTTTGTAATTCGGAGAGTCGACATGTCCGATCGCCACGATTCGCTTCGTTTGCATTGTTACTTGTCGAATGCTCGAGTTAACCTTTTGAAGCGATCGATCGCGGGTCGAAATTTTATAAAATTTGAATTTTGACGCGTTTTTGACCCGATTGTCGACGACGTCGTC